TCCCTCTGTTCTTTCTTTCCCACAAATATTTCACCTTTCACCTCGTTTCCCTTCTTCTTCTTCTTCTTCTCCTTTTACCTTTCTAATTCTTGCATTGCATGGCTTCATCGTTCCCTCTTGTTTCTACTTTTCTTTCATCATTCCTTCTACCTTTCCTATTTTCATTTTTGGTTATCATCCTTTCACTTGTCCTTCATTTTCTTTCATTCTTTCATCTCAACGTTTTTATTTTTCCTTTTTTTTTTAATTTATTTATTTTTGTTATTTTCATTTATAATTCAATTATTTTTATTTGATCTACTAATAATTTTTTACTTTATTTTTGCAAATTATTAAGCTTAAAATTATTTTATGAGGTAAATTCACATTTTGATTTATATTTTTTATTTCTTTTTATTTGAATAAAATCTTATAATGTATGACAATACTTTTTCCTTTTCTCTTTAAAGATTTTTTTATTTCATTATAGGTAAATTATTTGTCCTTTATCTTTTTTTTTATTAGTCTCATAATATTTGAATATTGTTCTTATTTTTTAATTATTCTCAAAATTATTTTATATTTATTATTGTTGCACTTGATTGATTTTATTATTGATTTTATTTAATGACTTTATAATTTAATTAATAATTCCAAAATTAAAAATTTAATTCTGCATTTTTTTAATTCTAATTTTTTTTATTGTTGGAGCAAATATAATCGATAAAAAAAACTTTTGATTATACTAGTATAATTGATAATATTTTTGTCAATTATACTGATTATACTTATTTTCGACTCTTGTTTATTCAACAAAGTTGACTGTTGATTATGACTGTTAATTATACTTATAATCGACAGAATTTCTCTTATAATCGATAGAATTTCTCTTATAATCGACAGAACATCCCTTATAATCAATAAAAATTTTTATAAATTAAACCTTGTTTTCTAGTAGTGTAAAATTTTATATTAAAAAGTTTAACCAATAAAAGTTTAACACATGATATTTATAATTAGAATAAAAAATTAATTTTATTATTTTTAAGATAAAAATGATAATTATTATATAATTAATACTTCTTAATCTATATCTTAAGGATTCAGGATAGATTAATCTTTTTTTAGATGTAATTTTTAATGGAAAAAGTACATAGTGTGATGCGATGTTGGGGAAAGAAAGGTCATGGGTCATTGTACAGAAAATTGATATTTTAACTTGCACCGTTAATTTGCCACAAATCTATTAAATTGCGGTAACTTTCCTTAAATCGGGCAGTTTGGGGATTAGCATCCTTAAATTTTATGGTAAATGGAGAATAATATTAAAATTTTAAAGTAGAGGGATTAAATAAGGAGGTTCCACCATAAAAAAAAATTTTAAACTTGAGTGACTTAAATATAAAATCTTCTCCACTTACTATCAATTAATTTTAAGCTTGCATCTCATTTTATGTTTCAATCCACATATCTAATTCCACACCCTCTGTCTTTCTTACAATATTGCTTGTTGACATTTTCCACAGATTAAGATTTTGGAGAACAAGAAGATTAAATTTAAAAAATATTTGTCTACCTTATTAATTGAAAAAATAATAATTAATTTATGACAAATTTTTAATTAAAAAATTTTTGTTTTGAGATTAAGGAAGTATATGTTTTTTAATATCCCAACCAATAACTTTTTAGACCAACAAAAATTTAACTGAGTTAATAGTTATTAATTTAAATTTTTTAATTTGAGATAAGTTAGAAATTTAAATTTTTGTTAAATTTTTGTGCTACTTAGAAGCTAACCCTCAATTTACAAAAAAACCAAATAGCTTTTTAAGTTAATTAACAAAACCGTACAACTTTCAAAATTAATTTTGATTAACGAAAATATTTTTTTTTTGGTACAAGATTAACCAAAATATTTTGGTTTCGTTTGATTCTCTTCGTTGCACAAATTAAATTAACTAAATTCAATTTTTAACTTTTTAATTTTTATTTTTGTAAATTAATTCTTTCTCGGCCTATTTTTTGGAAGGTGCCATGCATTTCCTCCAATGTTGCTAATGAAAGGGCCCTTCGTGATAAAAACAGCATCTTCTTCAGATATTTTATTTACAAAAATGATTTTTTCAATCTAGATTTCTTTTTATGTGACAAACCAAGTGAAACTATCATGCTGGAGACGGATGAGGAGAAGGAATAATGCTTCGAATCTTTCATATGGGTAATGAAGTATCATTTTGTTAATAGATTAATTAATTATTTTATAGAGTTTTTTCATTTTTCGAGTTTAGATTATATACCGTCTTGACTGTAAAAGTATTTTAATATCTTAAATTACTCCCACTCTAGTTTTATTAGGTTTAATTATTCTTACTCAGTAAAGGTATTTGGTATTTTTATTTTAAATTAAAAAACTCATTCTCATCCATAAAAAAATAAAAATTAAGATATTTTTACAATAAAATATTAACTCAATTTAATTTAATTATTAAAAGTAACTAATGAATATAAATAACAGTTAATCAATATAAATAATAAAATTATTAATACTTACCAACCGAACCTGTGGTCCAATTGGTTGGCCCCCAAGATTTAGGGTTTGGGTGAGGCGGAGGTCAGGGCTTCGAGCTCTGCCACCGCCGTGAACTCCATCAACTTACAACTTAATGGTCGTGCGTCTCAAATGAGGGAGTGGAACGTTCACTTTCCTGAAAAAATTTCAGCTGCTAACAACTTAACTCCACTAACTTCCTAACCATTTACCTGGTCAAAAAAAAAATAATAATAAAATTATTAATATTTATTACTTAATATATGTATATTTTTTTATTTTAAATTACACAATAAAAAACAATTTTTCCCTATCTTTTAACCTTTTTTTTTATTCCTTAACCTTCTTCAATTTTTTAACCATCTGCACCTTATTTTAACTCGAATTTAGAACCTCTTCTGTGTCCTTGCATTTGGTTTCCAATGACGATGAGAACCGGTTCGAGCGTCAAAGAGTTGATATTGAGATGCTGGATTTCCGCGCACTTCCTGCTGATTGCGTCCATCATCTCCCTAATCAGGCCTCTCGACGCCTGCAAATTGCCA